AGGTTGTTAGTGCATTCTAGAATGTGAGACTTGGATGTTAGGATGTTTAAAAAAAATGGATTGCTATTGYGTTTTGGATGTTTTAGAGTTGGATGATAAACGATTTAATTGGTTAATGGAATTGATTGTGTTAAGTGGTTATTTAATTTCCGCTGGTTAATTGTTGATTGTGTGAATTTAGCATGTTGAGAGTTARCATTTWTRGGAATGCTAAATCGATGTTATAAAAAAAAAAAAAACGGGTCGGGTTGTTTCATTTGAGATCCTTGATAGTGGCGAGTCTCTGGAGAAAGACGTGAAAGTCATGGTCGCGGCTTAGCATGCTGATGCGTACGTACTTCTTGTCAGAGCCAAATCGGTCTCCTCCTCTCGCCAAAACATTCTTTTCCTTCAAGAGACTTCCCAGATCTCTCTCTTCTTTACACCCCAACCACGCAAACGCTGCAACAAAACCCGAAAACCGTTGATGAACAACCCCACCGTTACAAATTCAACACCAAAATGGTTTATGGTTTAGTACCTGGAGTAGTGGAGATGGTTTTGCCAAAGAAGTTGCAAAAGGCTTGAGGGTAATTAGGTAGAGTGAATGTGTCACCAGACTCGACTATCTCGCGAAGCCTCTCCCACCGTGACTTCATTTTCTCGTAACCATACTCGAAGAAGCTCTCCGATTTGTTCCTACAAGTTTTGGTAAGTTCGTTGAGGATCGTTGTTGCTCGAGTCTGTGACTCCTTTGACACACCAATGGAGTTAATTGTTAGGTAATGCACCATCTTCTTAGCCACCTCTATGTCCTTCACTAATGCCCACCTTCACCCCAAAAAGTTAATTAATTGTCAATAATGTATACATACAAACATAAAAGGACCAAATTAGTAAAAACCATACTATCCGAAGCATATCCAAAATAAGACATGTTAGGTAATTGAAGTTATCCCACCAGGGACGGATAATTCAGATACCTAAAATCATTATCGAAACGTCTAATATATTCACAAAAATTCGGATTCATATATATGGACTAATTTTATATAATTCTGGACATTTAATTGTTACTATCCAAACCGATAATTGAAATGTCCATATAAATATCTTTATCCGATATATCTCGTCGTCCACTGAAATGGGTAATATCAATTACCGTAACTTGAAGTTGGTAAGTTTGTCTTACCCGATGCGGGACCCAGCGTGACCCGTGATCTTGGAGAAAGTGAAGAGCATAAGGTCGTGGTCTTCACGGCGAGTGATCGGAGTGTAGTGAGGCCAGTAATACGCGAAGTCATGTATCACTTTCCCACCCTCCGTACGGTTCACCACTGGCTCTCTCATGGTCCCCTCAGGGTTGTTTGGTGATGTCACCATCTCGATGTATGGTCCCTTTTTGTCGAACGTTCTTGCGTCTCCTTCCCATTTGTACAGGTTCGATTGAAGATACGATGCCTCTTCCACGTATGTCTGTAACAGAAACAATAAACGAAAATGTTGAAACGTACTTTAGAGCAAGAATGTTTTTTTTTTTTATGTTTCGTTAGACTGTTTTTGTTTAGGTTTTGTTACTCCAATAGGTTCAACATCCGAGATGTTTTAATTTAGTGTACACAAAACTTTACATTTGAATTTAATTATTTTTATGCACATTTTTTTTCGCATTCGCTTTTCTTTAACAAAAGGCAAAAGATGTTTCATTCACTTTCCAAGGTATATATATTTACAGTAATTTATATACAGTAGTTTATATAATTATATTCAGTAATAATATTTATCTCTTAATTGGAGATCCATTCATTTGGTCAACATGTTTTTTTTTGTTTATTTAATGAACCAACGCAAGTCAAAAGATTAGATACACCCACTCTTTAATTTTATTTATGGAACTTCCATATATACTAAAGTGTTTTTGACCATTTTTATGTAATGGAAGCAATTAAGTGTTTTATTCATGTATCTAACTATTTTTCTATCTATTTTTTTTTCTTTTAACTCATACTAATTTAAAAAAACAAACAAACCGTTTTTTTCGCGCGAAAAATAACTTGATATTCAAATATACGAAAAAAAATATTTAGTGAGTGAGGGCTTACAGAATAAAAAGGAACCGCGGCAACGATGTTGACAGGTTGCACCTCAGAGAGGGAAGAAAGTGCAAACAAGGCAGCTTGACAAAGCTGCGACGAGCCAGTCCCCACCACGATGTAGCGTTCCTCTGTGACTGCGTTACCGATCGCACCATGCAAGGCTTTGATTGCATTTGCAAGCTCTGGTTCAAGAAACCAACACACGTCTCGCGTATCACTGAAGTAGCTCATCAGATCCCATCCTTGTATAACAACCGTGTACTTGTCCGTTTTCTTCATCCAATACTCTTGGAACGCCGTTGGATCTCCTCTGMAAAAAAAAAAAACACGAATCGATTATTATTATTTTTATAAAAATTTCATCATGGATTCTTTGTTTATGTTTGCGTCAAAATTAACGTTTGTTTTTACGTTTTTATGTTATATTATAGTGTATTCTTTTTTCAAATATGAAATCACAACGATTAATCAAAACTTATATGTCGATCAAAGTCGCAAAAACAAATACAAACTAAAGAAGAAGAAAAATTAATTAAGTTTATAATAATCGAGACTTTAGTTTTGATCGGTTGTGTAAGCAAACGTGGAAATTCATGACTGTCAGATTCTTGGAATTAAAACGAGATTAACCAACTTTTGTAGTTTTAGTGGAAGTTTAAACAATACAAGTGAGATTTTGTCAAAGTAACGTACTGATCGAGATTGATGATGAGTTCATCTGAGAAACACATGTTCTTGTTCAAATCGATTTCGGATTTCGTCGAGCTTTCAAACACGGCCATATCTTCTTCTTGTCCTTGATTACTTTGTCGCTGCTAAATGTAACAATGTATGCTAATTAATGATCAGATAATCGTATGGGGTCTATGGTATTTTTATATAGCACGTGATGGAGAATCATGGGACGTAATATTTCAAACGAGATGAAGAATTTTTTTTTTTTCAAAAACGAATTATTATTTTCCACGTAACAACTAAGGTAAAAACCAAAAAAATAAAAATAAAACAAGGTAAACAAATCTATCAGATTATAGAAAAAAATACCCAAAAGATTCTTTTTATTTTGTTAACATTTTACGTGTTCAACAGTTTCAGGTCAACGTGTATCTCATAATTATGTTATTGTCTTAACGTACTACGCCAAATGTCTATGTGAATCTGTTGTAATTTATATGTACTAAATAGGGATGGAGGAAATGTGGTCAAGACAGTAATCACAGTATAATCTCCATAAATTATTTGTATTTTAATGTAATTATGATTCAAATGCATGTCACAAAAAAGGAAGAAGATAAGAACACAATTTTTACTCCAGCTTTATGTTCCCACGTGTTGTACTATCTTTCGACTGGCATTTCCATTTTATTTGTTCTTATTGTGAATTTGGAATACTATAGTTTTTTTTTAATGTCTGAATTTGGAATACTATAGTTAAGGTATATTAATTGTGATGTATTTAAGATTGGGATCCCATTTAAGATTAGAAAATTTAAGTATATTATTCTTGCAAGACAATCTCTTTTAGAGTGTGTCGACTTTGTGTAAATGGAGGATCTATGGGAATTTTCAAAATATTGGAAATCATAATAAAAAAAATTGAATTTTATATCTATGTAATATGTTAATTTTTTTCATTCAATTTTAGTTTTAATAATTAAAAACTGATAAAAAGTTCCAATTATTGATATGATCTATCAAAATAATAATGACTCGATTCGTTTATATTTAATATGATATTTAAAAAATGTATGAGCGCCATTATTGTGTCATATACAAATTTAAATGCAAATATATTATAGTATGAATAAATTATTAATTAAGAAAACTTAGGAATAAATTAAATATCATTTAACGTATAATATTACAAGTCGTTTTTAAAATATTATTTATGTAAAAAAAAATATATATATTTTAATCTGAAATTCGAAAATGTTTGTTCAGGTGAATCGTTGGTTTTCCAATAGTCGATCTTCAAGCTCGAATCAAGCTGCCTTTTCCGCCACCACTCTTTCCCAGACCCATAAACCTTAGCTTTCTCAATTTTTTCCTCTCTTTCTTCCCTTAAACCTTAGCTATCTTTTCACATGCTTCAAAGGTAAACATGCAAACTACTCTTCTTCAAAGCCTGAAGAATTTGTCCCTTTTCTCCTCTCACTAGCAGTAATATAGTGTAAATCAACACCCTATTAAAAGTTTCAGAAAAGAAAAAAAAAACTCCCTAGTAAAGAATTTAACAAACATTCACCCGCAATCTGAACATGAAAATCATAGGTTGTAAGTTAATATTCACAAGAGAAATTTACAAACTCAAATTATTGGATCTGAAGCACGCCTACTTATCAAAATTTGGAATACTATAGTTAAGATGCATATTGTGATGTATTTAGGATTTATAAAATTTTAGTATATTAATCTTGCAAGATAATCTTTTTAATAAAAATCTCATAAACTTTTAGAGTGTGTCGACTATGTAAATGGGGATCTGTTGAGAAATTTTCAAAATTTTGGAAATCATAATAAAGAATTTGGAATTTTATATCTATGTAATATGTTAATCTTTTTTCATACCGTTCAAGTTTTAATGATTAAAAACTGTTAAAACATTTATTGATATGATCAATAAGAATAATAATGACTCGATTCGTTTATATTAAATATCATATTAAAACAAAATATCGGCGCCACTATTATATCATATACAAATTTAAATGCAAATATAATAGAATATGAATAACTATGAATGAACAATGAGTATCATTAAAAACCAGACGTCCTAGCCACTCTCTCTCTCAGACACGGAGACCAAGGGAAAATGAAGTCCTGCTTCCGGCGTTCATGTTCGGAGCTTCTCTCTTCCTGAACGACGGTTGCTCCCCTCTTCTTTCGGTCCAATCAACCCGACGTCTGCTCTCTCTCTCTCCTTCCTTCTCTTGAGATGATGTCTTCCACTTTGAGTCGAGCCTTCTGATTCTCACCGGGCAGTAAACCGCGTGCAGATCGGAGCTCCTCGTTCTCTCTCTCATTTGGTTGAAGACGTTCTCAGGGAAGAAAATCCCTTCTCCACCGCCGGAACCACCGGATCCACCAGATCTAGCTCAAAGGTCACGTTCTGCCTCAGATTTACTCCACCATGGTCTAACCAGCATGGAGATCTGCTTACATCCAACTCAATCTTCGGCTTCAACTTTTGCTCCACCAACTGCATCAACCCCTCCTTCGCCGAGATTTCACTTCGATCTCTATGGGTCAGCTAAGTTCTCTCTCGTCGGTCATGAACACTGCTCTGGCAGAGATATCAACTTAGCTCCGACTCCTGCTGTACCTTTAACCGGACCGTCGTGGTTCCTCCTCTCCGGCCAGCCAACACGGCGGCCTCTCCTCCCTCTTCCCAACTACCGAAAACCCTACATGTCTCTCTTCCTTATTCAAGTATGGGCCTGGCCCATTATGAGAGATAGGCTTCCTAACACAACAAAGCTGTCTGGCCCACCAAGCATTAATCTTAGTCAAATATGGGACAGGATTGCTGCTCCGTTAGATCAGTCGCGGGATCGGTTTCGTTCCCCATCACCGGCCTCCTCCACCATCCACGGGTCTCCTCCATATGTTCAAAACTCAACCTCACCGTTAACAGCCTTGGCTCCGGCGAGTTACCTAAAGATCAAGCTTCTCCATTGGCCGCTTTTTCCGAGATTCACCGTACAT